TTTTTTCTTATTTGATAAGTTTTTGGCACACAGTAAAAAATATACGTTATATTTCAATTAAAAAAGTCCTATTTTCAGGATTTGGGTGTGGGCATTTCAAAACTTTTGATAGATACTCTGTTTGTGTGTGTGTATGTATATATATATATATATATATATATATATATATATATATATAAGTTTGGTTAAAGATCAGTGAAAATTTTTTCTTGATGATTTTTACATTTTTTCTATATTTCAGACTATTTTCCTGCTTTCATGTAAATATTAAAATATAAATTGTCCAAAGTTCAAGGACTTTTAATTTTTATAAGCCACAATGAAAAAAATATTTGCTTTTTGTGCTATGCTGGTTTTATCATTTTTCAAATAGCACATCTTCCTGTGACACTTTTTGTTGCGTCATTATTTTTTTAAATTAATTATGAAACATATTTGGCACGTTTGTTACATTTTATTGATATTGGATTATTGTTTTTAATGCTTCTAGTATTTCTACTTGCTTTTTACAGCTTATATGATAAAGTATTTTTATATTATTGGTAAAAATTGTATGTGTTTTGTTGCATTGATGATTGATATACAATTTAATTGATCTATAATCAGATAAATGACATGTTAATTGGTGCAGTAATGTTGTGGCTGTGTAACCAATGTATGTGTTGGTTAAACTTTTATTATTAGACATTATTCAGGTAGTCAAGCAAATTCACAGACAACACTGGTTTGTGGAAGTTTTGATTTTCTTTTGTTGCATTCCTGGGCAATCTATATTTAAATATGTACTAAAAACTAGGAAAATGGTCTGAAATATAGAAAATAAATTTAAAAAATCATTAACAAAGAATTTTTGTTGCTCTTTAACCAAACTTATAGAAATGAAAAACTGCTGCATAATTACACCATATATATATATATATATATATATATAAAAAAAAATATAATTTTAAGATATGCTTTATTTATGGATAAAAGTGCTCAATACAATATCTAGGATATAGTGTGTGTAAATCTAAAAGTGGACAACGGTTAACACTGAGCAGCAACAGTTTATTCCATGCAATCTTCAGGTCTTGTACTATATATATATATATATATATATGGATAAAGAGAGAGAGACATACACACAAACACACACACAAAAGGTTTGTTCAAAAGTTTCCAGTAAATTGCTTCCCAACTGTATTCAGTCTCTAAGTTTTAAAAATAAAAGCATTTGGAACTTTTGCATGCACACACATACACACTAATACATACACACTGACATGTGATTCATATGAAGAGAGGGATTTTTTATTGTTTTTAAATTATTTGATGATTACTGAATTATCAGCAACTTGTAAGTAATAAGAACTGGCATTATTAGACGGAGTATAAATTTATCATTCATGAGTTAATCTGTTTTGTTCATGTTTTTGTTTCTCCTAATTAATGTCCCACAAAACTAAAGTTCCAATAAAAATAAAGAAAAAGACTCATTTCATAATTATATAATTGTACAATGCTTGAGCAATGAATACATTAAATTGAAGGCAATGACATCAAAAAATGAAACTTCCTGTAGGGTTTCAGATCTCATCAGTACCAATTTATATATTAGGATATATCAAAAGTATTTTCATTTTTACTGATCTTTACTCCAAAACTTATTTTATGAACACATTTTAAGACTATCTATGACACCCCAGTCCATGGATGATAAATTATTGAAAAAAAAATAAGGTTTTCTTTATGTCTAAACTACCTTCTGATTGCTACTGTGTATAAAATAAATAGGTCATTTCTTCTCTCTTTTCTCTCCCCCTTTTTTTCTCTTCCTTTCTCCTATGACCACCCCTCATATCCAGACTTACACTACTTCCTTGTTTTTATTTTCTCTTTTTTTTCTTCCCTTCTTTTTTCCTTTATCTGGCCATTTTTTTATTTCAATAATTTATCATCCACTGACTGGTTGGAAAAATCCTTGTAAATTTTTTTCAATTTATATGGTGAAAATGATCATTAAAGTAATGTAATGTTAATTCCTATTGTTTGAAATATGTTGCTTTAATTAATTAAAACATTGAGCTCTATGTGTGAATCAGTTTTAATATTTTATATTTTTTATTATATTAATAGAACTCACTTGGATTATATACCAATGGATATTATCTATATATTTAAATAATAATGGTTTTAGTGATATAAGTCTTACCATAGCTGTGTGGGGGAGAAGAGGTGAACCCATACCTTTCCCCAAGAATATTTGCATGTAAGTGAATATAATGAACCCAACTGAAATTGCAACTCAGCTCTCTGATTAACAATTCTGAGGCCATTATCCATTACACTACCCATACATCCAAGCTTACAGCACCTGGTATTCCAATTGGAAGTGGCCAACCAAGTGGTCACCCATCTAGGTACTGACCAGGCTCGAGGTTGCTTAACTTTGGTGATAGTACAGGAATGGGTGTTTCAACATGAGGTGGACGTTAGACACTGAAGGAAGTTGAAGTAAATGAAATAATATCTGATCATGCAAATTAGTTCAAGCATTTTTAGTATGGTGAATTGCCTCTTGAAACAAAACCAAAATGTAAACAACCATCCATCAATTGTTGACTATACTTTAAAACAAGATAAAAATCCAACCTGTAATATTTAAAAACTTTCAGAAGAACTAGGATCATTGAAAGATATATCTAAAGCATTCAGTCAGTCGTTTAAGTGTCATAACATGATAGACGCTTGGCTGATTATGTCTCTTTTGATTCATGATTGACTAGGCAGAAGATCTCCCTGAAATAGGTTACCATTTCTTTTTGCAGTAGACTCATTTGACAATCTAAAGCATGACAAAAGATTTAAAAATACAGGAACTTTTGATCTTTTAAAAAATGAGAAAATCTTTGATATACCTCAATGTTTCATGCTAATATCACTGTTACAGGTTGATTAAAATTGGTTATATTTATGAGGGAATTAATCAATATTGGAAATAGAGCATTTGTAAATATAAAAAAATGTGAGCAGAGAAATCAACACTGAAACTGACAGTCACTATGCAGAGTTGATTTCTATGTTCACACTCTCCGTGTCTCAATGGGATGATTTATAATACTGTTGATATACATCATTAACTTTATATAAACATACATTTTGACACTACAATTAGAGAATATATATATATATATATATATATATATATATATATATCCAAATGAGAGAAGGAATAAATGGAGTAAAAAATCCACAGTTCATATCATTTACTTTTAAAAAAGTGTTCAATACAAAGTAGAGCAAAATATTATTATATTTTTATTATAAGAGATTATAATAAAAACATCTTTAAATTACTACTCAAAAGCTTTCATGTTTCAATACTATGATTGTACTTCTTCAGCCAATAGTAAAGTTACCTACTATTGCCTGAGGAAGTACAATCATAGTATTGAAACATGAAAGCTTTTGTGTAGCAATTTAAAGATGTTTTTATTATAATCTCTTGTAATAAAAATATAATATATAATCTTTACACACAGAAGGAAAGCAAACAGTAAGAAAAAATGGTATCCAAATATTTGAAAAGTTTTGATGAAATATAGTTTCCTAAGAAAATAAAGTAGCCATTTGGGGATCATGTTTGCTATCCTTGGGGAAACTTTTTCTTAGACAAGGCACAATTATAATGATAGTTGTTAAATAAAAAAAAAAAAAGAAAAAAAAACAGGGGTTGATTGGTTGGTGCAGTGGGTTAAATCATTCTTTCATCTTTTGGGGTGGTCCTTAAAAAGGGATAAGAATTTTCAAGAAATGGTTACAGGATGATGGAAGTCCTGCATATCAATGCAAAGTAATTCTGTTAAAAATATCTCAGTTATTGGAGAAGTTGTCAATTTCTTATTGATATCAAGTAAAAATTTCAAATTGCATACAAATTAATTTTTATCAGTGGCTTCATTTGAATGTATACATTTACAAAATTGCTTATTTAGGTTTTATCAGGATTGTTTTTTGTTGATTGGATAGTCTGTTTGTACTAATGAATCAGAAATGATAGTATACAAATTATATTCATTTTGTGAATAAGAATTTTTTTATTACAATCCCTTATTATCAGGATGATTTTAGTTTTGTGGGACACTATATTTTGATCAATATATCATCTGGTCATCATCAGGTAACACAGTGCAAGTGACTTGAGTCTACAAATTTACAAGGCATCAAATTTTTTCCTTATATATAAAGTATATTTTTAACTCTCATTCATTCTCGAGATGCACACATGCAAAAAAATAACCCTTTAAATTGAACATCATGTCATTTTAAAAGGAACCTCATTAATATTTGAAAATATAATCCATTGTTCTCAATTTGCCATATGTTAAAAAGAGAAAAAAAAAAGAAAGAAAAAGGGGAAGTAATTCCATAGATTTAAATTAATATGTGGGATGTCATCATATAATTTACTCTGATCAATCCATTGTACCCAATTAGTAGTCATATATTCTAAAAAAAGAAGGAATTACTTTTCCTTGACTTCATCCAACCTAGTCTGGAATAAGTCATCAGTTGAATAAGTTGAGTAAGTTCAGGAATCAAAAGAACTATAAAAAATGTTTTACTTTCTTATTTATGTTTGAAAGTGATTTGAAAAGAAAAGAAATTACACTAAATTAAAAAAAAATATTAACAGAATCATAAACTGACCTGGACTTTATATTTGAAGAAAAAAAAGGTAAGTGGGGTGAAGAGCACACCATCATTTCCTTTAATAAATGAAGATGTATTTAAGCCAGCAAATTATTAAATATGACCAGCATTCACTTCTACAAAGAGTCAATTAGAAATAAAATTTGTTGGTTTAATCAATTCACTTGATGATGGTCAGAGAGTACCTGATCAAAACATAAAAGACAAAAATAACAGTTAGCAAAGAAAAGAACTTACAAACTTTAAGGTGGTTAGATCTAATTTCCAGGTGGTTAGAGAAATAGTATAGGAAGGTAAGTTATAGATTATTCCACTTTGATGGTTTTGCTTTTCCACCATTTGATGACCATACCTGGCAGCAGAGCAACAAGAGCAACTGCCAGGAGTTTGAAAAGGATCCAGAAAGTGAAGATATCATTTACAGATTTAATGGAAGACAATACACAGCCTGTTTGAACACAGATGAAGTTGTATGGCATCAAACCTGCAATAAGAAAATAGAAAATGTGCTAAATACACTGATTTTAGAATGGATTTACATTGACAAGCCAAAACACTATGAGCATTTGCCTAAAAAGTTATTGGTTCTCCATGTACTTGCAGAACATTGATTACCTGATGAGGTATGGACTTTCTTTCTTTTTTTTTTTTTTTTATGTACCATGTCCTTTTAGGATGTAGCCGATCATGGCTCTCCACCTCCCTCTATCCCATGCAGCTCTCAACAAGTTCATTCCCTCTGCTACCTCCCCAAGACCATGTTCTGTCATCCACCTGCTCAAGCCAGCCAGGAATGTCACGTGCTGTTTTCCCTTGTCTCTCTTTCCCTCTATTTGGCACATGAGTATCAGATTCTCCAGGCCATCCTCATTGTGTGTCCTAAAAACTTCAGATGCTTGGTCCTCAGCATCCTTCTGTAGAACTACATCTCTGTCACCTCGGTTCTATTCTTCATCCTTGAGGAAATTGTCCAGCATTCGCTGCCATAAAGAAGGACAGCTGTCACATAGCAGCTCAGTGCACTTTTCTTTATTAATAAAGAAATCCTCCTGTCTCGCAATACACTTCCCAGCTTTTGGAATGCGTCCTTGGCCATCCCAATACGTCTACGGATCTACGTGTGTTGCACTTACCGTCCTCTGTTAGAACGCTTCCCAGATATTTAAACTTCAGCATCTGATTGATTCTAGTGTTATCGACCTGCAAATCACATTTCAGGCTCATTCTCTTACTGATGACCATGCATTCTGTCTTCTTGTAGTTTATGCTTAGTCCCTTCTTCTTGATCTCCTTCGCTATCTTCTGTAGGAGATTTTGTAGTTTCTTTTCTGTATATGCTATCAGTACTGTGTCATTTGTACATCTTATGTTGTTGAGATAGTGGCCACCAATGCTAAATGCCGGTAGGGTTTCCAACTCTCTCAGAATTGCCTCACTGTATAGGTTGAACAGGTCAGGTGAGAAGACACATCTTTGCCTTACACCCCTTTCTATTTTTGTATATTCACTGAATTTGTTCCCTATGCTGTTTGCTGCTAGTATAGGTTCTTGATTATTCTGATATCTTTCCAGAATATGTCAAGATTGCTGAGCAGTTCCAGCATATCATTGTGATGTACTTTGTCAAAAGCCTCTGTCTAGTCTATGAAACATAGGTACATGTCCTTTTGCATTTGTATCAGTCTTTCTGATGACATCCTGAGCATGAATATCATATTCCTTGTTCCGGTGTCTTTAATAAACCCACACTGTTCTTGTCCTATCTCTGGCCTGATTCTACTGCACACTCTATTCATCAGTATACAGATGATGAGTTTTGTCACATGGCTCATTCAGCTTATTATTTGTTAGATTCGTTTGTGCCTGGTTTCTCAGGCATAGGTATGAAGATAGATCTGCTGAAGTCTTCCAATATGTTCCCACTGTTGTAGATTTCATTTGTTATTTTGGTGATCTTGTCTATGACAAAGTCATCTAAGGCTCTCAGCATTTCCATTACAATTCCGTCTGGCCCAGCTGCCTTGTTTCTGTTCAGTTTGGCCAGTGCAGCTTTTACCTTGATTTTCAAAATTCCAGGTCCATCCAAGAACTAAAGGTTTCTTCTGGGATAACGATGTGAAGATGTCAACTGCAAGTCCTTAAACTGCTATTAGTTTTGTGGTGGAGGTTTTGCAAAGAAACTTTGTTAGTTTGAAACATATCGCAATTTTTCAATGGGATTGTAGTCCTTTGAGTTTGGTAGTCATGACAACACAGTGATATTTTCTTCATGTAAATCATTCCTGTACATCTTGTGCAGTATGGCAGGGTGCATTGTCTGCTTAAAGATGTTACTGTCATTGTAGAAGCCTTATTTATTAAGGGACATCTTTGTTTTCAATAATATTGAAGTAAGTGTTATATGACAATGACCTTTCCACATGATCAATGACAGTATTTTCATTCAGAATGTAGCCCAAACCATCACTGTTTCCATCAACTTGTTTTCCCAATCACTTGCTATCATTTCCCAAGAATAATGGAATCCTCCTATCCTGCTTCCACTATACTGAAGAAAAAAAGAAACTCATCAAATCAAGAAACTTTCTTCCATTGTTACAAAGTCCATTTCTGATGATTTTAGTGATGTACATTGGTCAGCATAGGTACACTGACTAACTTGCAGCTACATAGTCTTATTTTCAACAATGGTCAACCTAATATGTCCCTCTGTTCATCTTGATTAACACTATCTACAACATTTGTCACAGTAGCCTTTCTATTGGCTCATACTCAGCAGTCTTGGACTTCCAGTGTCCTGTCAGCAGTTGGTGATTTTCCCACCTTGAAACTCTACCCATACCACAACTGAATATGACTGCCTCACAAACTGTCATTTTGTAAATGCTCTGACCTTGTCATCTGGTCATAATAATTTGGCCTTTTTTAAAGTTATATTCTTTTTATTTATAACAGTTGTATTGAACATATCAAAATGAAATATTCAAGGTTGGATCACCTATTTAAATATATCTGACTCTGATATGGGCAGTTGTTTAAGAGAAAGTAGCTGTTATTTTTTTGTCACATGTTCCTGGTCAAAACATTTTGGCATATCAATGTATAAAAGATCAAACATTCATCAAGAAGAGTTATTTAAGTTATCCAAGGTTCTAAAATGAATTATTTTCATTGTTCCATACATTTTAACTTCATCTGTCTTTTTTTTTTGTTTTTTTTTTTTCACAAACAATAGTAGTATTAATAACAGCTGAAATAAAGATAAATATTAATGAAAAAAAAAAATCTTTTTTCTGATTTAATACTTTCAGATATATTTTCCATTTTCCAATTATGGGAATTCGGAATAAAAATGCAACTTCACATTTGACTCTTACACAACTAGAGGTAGTCAAGAAAAAGTAGTATTAACAGAGTATGAAAGAATCAGGAATAAGATTAGAAGGAATTTAATATAAATATTGCTTTATGACATAGCAAGTTCCTGTGGTATAGGATGTGGGTCTCATTTGAAGTTACATCTTTCTTCCAGTTTACTGCAATTTAAGTATGAAAATATGAAAAATAAAATTAAAAATATATGGAAACTAGTGAAATGATATCTAAAAAAAACAAACAAACACATTAGTTGTGACAATGAAGGTGGTAAGAGGATGACATAAGCATTAATAGTAATCATAAAATTTTTTTAACCCAACTATTCAATGATTTTAAAATATATGTGAAATCCAGTAATAATATTTGTGATAACCAAGTTAATTAGTAAAGTATAGATACAAATACAAAAGTATTGATAGAAATAGTTGCAACAGATTCTGGTTATGACTACTAATATGACTTTGATAGATGTGCTCTCAAAAGGTAAGCATGAAAAGACATAAAAATTGTATAATTTTAAAATTGTTTTTTATGGAAAGGTAGAGTAAAAGAAAGGTTAGAGTATGTAGTAGAAAATTATTTTTTGTTCCTTTTTTACACATATAATTAATTGCAATTTGTATAAGATGTAGATAAAAAAATATGTGCAGGCAATTAAGATCGAAAAGGATGAGGGAGAGAATGAAAAGATACAAGCAAATGATGAGAGAAAACCAAAAATTAGAGGCATGATATAATAGTCAGCATCTTTTAAATTTTCATCAGTACAGTAATTAAATTTTTTCATTTATACATCCCTCCATCTATCATGCATGAAGGTGGCACTAAAAGTTTTCTTAGTTCAATCAAGAAGATACAAAAATGAATTTTGGTCTTTTGTTCAGATTATGGGAATTGGTCAAGCAGAGGACTCCTGCCCCACTTGTGTGTGTGTACAATAGCTTCTACTAAAAAGTTTGGAGAATATGAATATCATATGCATCTCAAATGCAGTAAAGACTTTGCTGCTACTTTTGTGAGCAGTACTTTTTATGTGTCAGTAAGCTGACTCACAAGTGGACTACTTCAAAAGGTAACAGTGGAAAGATTAAGGTAAGAGGATAAGTAATTTTGTATTTGTCATCAAATTCTATAAACTTTTGTGCAACACCCATCCACACACGTATATTCAAGGAGTGCTGAAAGTCTTCAGCCCAATAAAGAAAGCATTCAAAAAAAAAAAAAAAAAAATATCATCTACACTATTTACAAGGGAACTATTGTCTTCATATTTGTTATTGTTATCACATTTTTGGCTGCTATGCCCTCTGGTTGTCATCAGGTGTATATCAATACAGGTAACCTACAAGGAATTCTAAACTGAATTCTTTATTTAATCTACTGAGGTGGGTTGTTCTCGTTCCACTGCCTATGTCGAGGGATATCTTGTCTAGTCTTTATTTTTACAATAACTACTCAAGTTATTGCTAGCTGCTAGCTATTTTTCCACTGAGTCCAAGTATATACTACCTGGCTCAGGGATTGAACTCACCAATACTTTATCACCAAATTCACAAACCAATGCTTAAATCCAGTAGGCTATTGTACCATGGGTGATACACCTGATGAAAGCAGAAGTGTACAACTGTTGAAACATTGTGATAACATCAAACATGAGGACAATAGTCCACATGTAAATAGTGTAAATAATGGTAACATATACTAGACATTCAGAAAGAAAAAAAATTATGCTGCTCATTTGGTAAGGGTCTATATATATATATATATTTCTGTGTATTATTCAGTAAATGATGTTCTTTAATTAAAATGTTCTCTATTAAAAATGAAACATTTTGTGTCAATTAATTTTAATGGTCAACTTTTCTAAGTTCTGGATAATCCTTCACAAACAAGGAGGAAATTCTATCAAAAATTGTCTGAAGTTCATTGCAGAAGAAAAGTATCAGAAATATAGTCCAAGATTTCAACTTTCTTAAGTTATAAAATTCCAAAATGAAATTCAGACAATTTTTGATGGAATTTCCTCCTTGTCTAAGAAGAATTATCTGTAACTTGGAAAAGTTGGTCATTAAAATTAGATTCAGATTTAATATTATTATATATATA